TCAGGTATAACAATAACACTGTAAAACCTTCACAGAGGCACTGATGCTGGAAACACTTATTGCTTTTAACAATCAAGTAATGAAACATCTGTGCATTGAAATCTTTGTAAATCTAAATGACATGCACACCATAATTTACTTTGTTAATGCATACAAACACCGAACCTTTTATGAAAATGACTAACTGACAGTCACAGAATTAGATGCTATCTAAGTCCCTGCTGACAGTCCAACAACCACATTGGAACGGATTTTGCATGCTTAAATCTATTTAATTATAATTATATAAATTGTTAATGGCATTAATTTTGTCGTTCAGAATAATCCATTTATGCTCAATATCCTTACATTTTGCACTATTGTCACTCAATAATTGTCACACCGCACGCAAATGAACAGTTTAGGCCTAAAATGTCAACGATTTGGTAATAATGTCATCTTCTGAGGGAGATAAGCTGGAAAATAAGACGATTTACATAAAATGTGATTTATACCTTTTGTCAAAATCGCAGCGATTTTTGCAAATATTTCTTTTGACAATGTACCTATTTGACTATTTTGGATAAAATATCAACCATCTTCTAGGTTTAAGCATCAATCGTAGCCCCCGCCCCTTTGAATAATAGTTATTTCTTCTCAAGACTGCTACGAAGGCACATATTGCCCCAATGCTGGTTTTTTGGTTGTTATCACGTTTTATACAAGTGAAAAAATACATCGTATTGAATGGGAAAACCGTAAAATTTTCTATTTCTTTTTTATTTATTATTTTTTTCACGTCACACAGTGCAAATATTGCTACATCAGAAACGAGCGGGAACGTTTAGCCTAGTTTTTGATGCCAAGTTGTAATTAGGTCACACTTGACAACAATACAGGGCGCCATTTTGAAAAGGTTTTCACTGCAATTTTGCCGTTTGCTAGTATTATCTGGTAAGATTTCTAGGCAAAAATGATGTTAATAGTGTAGTTAAGTCAAAACAATGATGCATGTGCTGCACAGGTGGAACACACAACCACTAATTCTGCCGTCACTTCATCTAAACTTGAAACTGATAAATCTATGTAGAGAATATAATGTACCGGTCGGATTGGACTATACTAAGAGAGACATTTTTACTTGTGAAGATATAATGTTTCGTTTATCTTCACTGCATTAAAGATATGTTTTTATCAAATGGAGAATTCATGATATTTCACTAGTAAACTGTAATAAATACTGATATCGTAGGGTTTACTGTCATATGTTTGTAGACAGTCTACAGCCTTAATATCCCAGAAGGCTTTCAGGCATGGGGAAGCACCGGAAGTGGGGTTTTGAAAAAAAAGTATTAGAATAATGTGATGGTGTTGTATAAATAGGGTGGGTGCAGGAGAATATGTGTACAGAATAGGATATTAACAGTATTGTATTTCTTTTCAGAAACTGACATGCACAGATATAAGGTTTAAACACTGTTTCTCCTATGTCTTGCATGCTCCAACTGTATACATGTGTTATCATTTATTAATGGCAGGACTTTCAATTCTCATACCATCACGTATAAGTACATATTATATATTGAGGAGTTCAACTCAATTCTCATACCATCACGTATAGTACATATTATATATCGAGGAGTTCAACTCCATTCTCATACCATCACGTATAAGTACACATTATATATCGAGGAGTTCAACTCAATTCTAATACCATCAACGTATAGAACATATTATATATCGGGTAGTTCAGCTCAATTCTCATACCATCGCTTATAGTACATATTATATATCGAGGAGTTCAACTCAATTCTCATACCATCAACGTATAGAACATATTATATATCGGGGAGTTCAGCTCAATTCTCATACCATCACTTATAGTACATATTATATATCGAGGAGTTCAACTCAATTCTCATACCATCAACGTATAGAACATATTATATATCGGGGAGTTCAGCTCAATTCTCATACCATCACTTATAGTACATATTATATATCGAGGAGTTCAGCTCAATTCTCATACCATCACGTATAAGTACACATTATATATCGAGGAGTTCAACTCAATTCTCATACCATCACGTATAGTACATATTATATGTCGAGGAGTTCAGCTCAATTCTCATACCATCACGTATAGAACATATTATATATCGAGGAGTTCAGCTCAATTCTCATATCATCACGTATAGTACATATTATATATCGAGGAGTTCAGCTCAATTCTCATATCATCACGTATAGTACATATTATATATCGAGGAGTTCCGATCAATTCTCATACCATCACGTATAAGTACACATTATATATCGAGGAGTTCAACTCAATTCTCATACCATCAAGTCTAGTACATATTATATATTGAGGAGTTCAGCTCCATTCTCATACCATCACGTATAGTACATATTATATATCGAGGAGTTCAACGAGTGATGATTCATTACAATATACAATCAAACATGTTGATGACAAAGTACAGGGTTAGTAAATAATCCCAGTTATAAATAATGAGTTTCCTACAGGCAGTTCTTGTGATAGAGTTTAATTTATTCATTTGCCATGGGAGAAACATGAGACTAAATTTCAGAATGTCTTTAGAGGTAATTCCAATACAACATACAAGCTTTAATGAGTAGATTATATTTCAGAATGATCTCATGAGAATGTATATGAATAATAATTAGTCATCACAAATTTAATATTTCTTCCGTTAAACCATAATTAAATACTGTGTGATGGCATGCCATGTAAGTTAATTCACTCTGATATTATTAATGAAGTTCTTATTCACTTTGCCGGGTGTTAGTGATGAATTCACAATGAATCTATCCACGAAGTTCACTTTAGGTGGGAGTGGTGAATTCAACCTGAAATTATCTTGAAAGTTTACGATACATCTTAACTACACACACCTAATAACCATAAAGTTCACAGTGCAAAAACTATTTTAAGGATAACCGGACTGAAAATCCATTCAAATTTGTTTTACACCACCGTCAAACCAAAATATCAAAACTTTTTAAAACACATTTTAACCAGACATTATATTCAGACTGGTGTAGTTTGACGTATACACATACTTACAACGGGTCGGAGAAACTGAAATTATCCAGAAAGGTCCATATGGGAAAAAGTGATGATAAATAAAGTAGCCACAGTAGATGTATATATAATTTTCAATCATTTTTTGATTATATCGATTATATACGTACTACTTCCTGTCATATTTTCTTCTGCTGTATCTGATATGCACATACTTCAGTATCACTACATACTACTAGTACATATACTTTATTACCAAGGAGTGTTACATCATGTTAAGACATTAATAGATCTCAACAGTTGGTCACCCAATGCTTACCGTCTTGTACATATACTTTGATACTCAGCCATGTGCAACTTTGTGCAGATCTTGTGCAGATCTTCATGACAAAATAACATTAAAATACTCATGATGATAACTGATACATATTGTGAAAAGGAATTTATACAAATTGTATATACCTGTCTATAATGTTGAATTACCATGGCCAGGACCATAGAAAAGATTGTCCTGTAAAAAGCATACAAATTAGAAATAGTCATCTTGTACAGCTGGTGAAATGTCAACAAGAACAGTAATGTAGTGATAAGGTCCATCTACCAGTTTATATAATATCTCCGAACAAAGATTCTGTTTAAAAGGCTAGAAGTACTGTTATAGTTTATTTTCCACGTCTTTGGGCCATAAACTTTAAATTATTGATAACTTTTTTATGCAGCATCTTATACAACTCTATACAACGTGTAATATATTGTCAAGATCCCGACTTCAGCTAAAATAGACAGAGAGATGAAAAGGTAAATGACATTGGATGCAATATAAATGTAATTAATGAAGGAACATTGTTCATCTAAAAATATATAGGGATTAAAAATGAGTCCATTGTTAAAAGAAAAGTCAGATATCAGTATTTAAGTGTCTTTATGTGTTCTGTGCAGGTCTTCGTCTGCAGATAGTCCTCATCTGTCATTGCCAGCTGATCATTCGATGGAGGGGCTACCCGCCAGACATTCCATGTGTGACTTCCGCACCATCAGGTGGGACACAGCCATGCTCCCTACAGGTCAGTAGTACAAAGCTTCCTTAATATGTACTACCTAACTGTGAAATGCACCTTCTTTCCTGAAGAGTTCTGCACAAAGAAACACATATAATATCTTTTGTGAATAGTGATGTGGGTTATTATCCCCCAATCAAGATAAAGGTTAGGGGTTTATGATTGCCTTACATGGTCTATATACAACAACTGTTCTCAAAACATTGTGGCATATTGCAGTACCCGAGTTTTGCGGTACAACGGGTGCATTTAAGTGTGGGGAAATTGTTTCTGACTAAATTGATGGCGGTATGCGAGTTGGGCGGTACAACGGGTGGCGATACATCAAAGTTCTACTGTACACTTCGGTAATCCTAGAACAATCATTATTTATATCCCGTAAAGAGCCTTAGTGTAGGGTGCTACCGGGTGCTATATAAAAGCTGGATTCTTTATCTGATTTACTTTACAGTACAAGCTGTCAGGGATCCTCTTCGCATCAACATGGTGAAGGGCCACCACAACTGGATCTGTATAGCCTATCCACACTTCATCTCCTGCTTCAGGTATACTGCTCAAATACTTCATAGCTATCAGTGGTTTAATCTATTACCATTTTGGGAACAAGACTGAAGAATTTCAACCCTAATGATAAGATTCTTAAATATACAAATTCTCCATTAAGCAGACTTGGAAGGATTGATCTTTTCTGTCTCGTTTAGAAAATTTGCGTTAACAATTAAAAAGATTTTTTTTTAAAAATATTTTCTTCACGTTGTTAAGTATGGATTGTGAAAAGATTCTTGTATCACAACAAAAAAGGGTCTATATATGACGTTTCGATGACTAGTACAGTATGTACACTGTCACCTTCATCAGACAAATGACCAGTGAAGCGTATGTACACATCGGTGTAACATATGTACAAATTAACGTGCATAAACGTGTGTGGAGAGGGGGAACAATATACAGCCTCTTTCTGATGGAGGGGATCTCATCACTTATAATGTGTTATCACATTTTTCAATCAAGTTGATAAAGAAAGTTTGAAGTCTATGATCGGACATTGTCAAAATGAGATGTCAAACTGTATCTCATAAAATGTAATTTAAAGATGTTAGGTTTTTATGTAAGAAAAGAACAAGTAGATTTCTGTGAAATTCTGAAAATGAAGGCATACCATGCAGTTGTGCCTAATTATATTATTATGTGACTATGTTAACATTGTCAAGAATGCATTTGTATTATAACGTGACATCATAAAGTTAGATGTTAAGGTCTTATATTTTTCCATATTTACAACATCACAAAAAGAGGTAACCACTAATCATACAATTAATTATAATTTAATTGGTTGAGCTTGATAGGGTGCATTGTAATTTCAGATAACCCATATTTGTAATTTAATTTGTTGTTGAACCAATAAACTGCATTTGATTGGCTGTTGCCTGCCAATGCAGTAGACAGTTGCTGCAGAAGTTAAGAACTAACACATTGCTTAGGCATTGAGATTGGTTTTCTTGATTATAGATATTTTGTAGTGAAATAATTTGTATAAACAGGAATTGGTCCTTATTTTTTCCACATTTTTTGGATCATAATCATATAAATCAACACTGGGATTATGATATTTAGATATTTACAGTTGTAACATTTTTGAGAAAAGGCTCCATTGGAATGATAGGTTCAAAATTAGAAGAATTGATTTTGACATACCCAGAACTGGAAATCCTTTTCCCAGGAAATTTGTGGAAAATGATACCGCAACAATTTGTATACAAATTTTGTAGTTGCAAGTATACGTATGTACAATATTTAGAAGTGTAGAATCCATGGGTCTAAGGAAGCCAATGGATCGACTGGTAATGTTTCTTTGTGTCAATTTCTTTCCAGGATGAAGGACTCCACGGGCTGGCACTTGATATGGACAAGTCCCTACATGACCTGCCCTGTGGAGAGAATTGCTATCAATGCTAAAGTCCTCAACCCCAACCAAGACAACACCAACAAAATGGTGGCTGCCTCCTATGGTACCAACATCCAGCTGTGGTCTGTGTCTGATGACGGGTCAAGTCGTGAAATAGGTCAGTTGGGAAGGGAGTTCTGCACAGATGTCGGGGATAACCAGTTGTTGTCCGATTGATCAGAGTGAAATCACTGAATGTTGGCATGTAAATCCTTCAAAGATTGCAGATAGTGAGGGCAAATGTTTTATATCCATTTACTGAACATCTGAACCGTTTTAGATCAATATTGTATGTTTTTCAAATGAACAAGAAGCTTGGAAAATTTCAGACAAGAACATAAAATATTTCAACGTCTGCTATTAAAAGCTTGTGAGCTGATCCTCTGATGGGACAACTGTTGTGAACGCTTGTTAGTCTAGATGGGACAACTAGTGTTAGCAGTTGTAACGGATTTAATAGGCTGTGGCTGATTGTAAAAGCTTGTCAGATTGTCCTTTTAATAATAGGATCGGTTGTTTTAATGGGCTGACCATCCCCAGGCTGACCTGTGGTCTTTCATGGTCATGAGAAGAAAATCAACTTTTTTCTCATTTTTAATTGTTTGGCATGAGCAGCATTTGGTTGACGAGGTGCTGTGGTTGACTTGATATTTGTGTTTTACAGATATGTCTTTGGATTTTTAAACAATTTAATTGATGTGATTAATTAAATTCAATATCAAAAACACCAAAGGCAGTCATAGTAAAGGAAAGGGATGTATTTGAAGTGGTACCTATATATCATTAGTGTGAGGTAATAGGTAGCTCATGTAATAATTCGGCCAATAATTACAGCAGTTAACTATTGCTGTTTTCCCCCTCTGTAATGAGTGCACGCTAATCACTACAGCAAACACTAGTCAACAACATAATAAACATCGCAACATAGTGTGAACAGCGAAATTAACACTGGGCGGAAGGTTCCCGGAATACACGACTTCATTGGTCATGTTTAGTTGGCATTTTGAATCCTTAGATTACCCAGGCTTGAAACCCAGATGATTGTACAGTTATCACTGTAATCTACTGGGACGTGTTCATGTTTTAATCACACATATGAATGAACTTTTTAACAGACCTAGATATTTGAATACTCTATCAATCATTTGATGACATCTATTGTAGGTATGTTTCCTCTGAATGTGTCTGTGGATTCCTTGTTCTTTATCGGAAGTCAGCTTGTTGCTCTCAGTCAAACAGGCAAGGTTGGAGTGTGGCATGCCATGACCCACAACTGGCAGGTATGTACAGTGAAGGGACAAGCAAAATACACACACGGTGAATAGGGTTGAAGATGGATGGGGAGTAGGGGAGGGGAGGAGAGGAGAGGGGAGGAGAGTAGAGGATGGGAGGGGAGGAGAGTAGAGGATGGGTGGGAAGTAGAGGAGAGGATGGGAGGGAAGGAGAGTAGAGGATAGGAGGGGAGGGGAGTAAAAGATGGGAGGGGAGGTGAGTAGAGGAGAGAAGGAGAGTAGAGGATGGGTGAGGAGGAGAGTAGAGGATGGAAGGAAAGGAAAGGAGAGGATGGCAGGGGAGGAAAGTAGAGGATGGCAGGAAAAGGGTGTGGGAATCAGGTGTCCTCAGTTAACTAAACTTTTGGTATAGCGTTACAATGTTTTAACAGATTTTCATAGATTGAATATGATACTTGAGGTATTCTCATGGTTTGAATCATATGACTTTTAAATTTAATGATGAAGGAAATATAATCTGGCTTTTAATTTCATAAAACAATACAAACAAATCTTGCTATGTAGTGTTGCTCAATACTCTACTCCTCATGCAGACATATTTTATAAGGTTGAATATCTAGTATGTTTAACAGTTCAAATCATGGTTTATTGTAAGTTAATGTTATTGATATAAATAATTTCATGAGGACCATGAACTATCACCAGTCCCAGAATTTTTTCCACAGTTTGATTAGATGTTGTGTTTTTAGCTCACCTGCCATACCGCAGCGTCTGTCGTCCGTCTGTCCGTCAATTTTTCCTTTAAAACGCTACTAGTCATGAACAACTGAGCAGATTTTGACCAGATTTTGACCAAATTTGGTCAGAAGCATCCTTGGGGGAAGGGGAACACATTTTGTATAAATGGTGGGTCTGTCCCCCTGGGGGCTGAGGGGCGGGGCCCAATAGGGGAAATATAGCAATTTCTTTAAAATCCTTCTTCTTCTGTAGGAATGAAAGGATTTGTTCCATATTTGGTCTGAGGCATCCTTGGGTGAAGGGGAACCAATTTTGTATAAATCGTGGGTCTGGCCCCCCAGGGGCCTGAGGGGCGGGGCCAATAGGGGAAATATAGCAAATTCTTTTACATCCTTCTTATTCTCTAGGAATGAAAGGATTTGTTCCATATTTGGTCTGAGGCATCCTTGGGTGAGAGGGAATCAATTTTGTATAAACCGTGGGTGTGGCCCCCAGGGGCCTGAGAGGCCGGGCCAAATAGGGGAAACATAGCAAATTATTCTTTAAAATCCTTCTTCTTCTGTAGGAATAACGGGATTTGGTCCATATTTGGTGTGAAGCATCCTTAAGTAAAGGGGAACCAATTTTGTATAAACTGTGGGTCTGGCCCCCCAGGGGCCTGAGAGGTGGGGCCCAATAGGGGAAACATAGCAGATTATTCTTTAAAATACTTCTTCTGTAGGATTTGGTCCATATTTGGTGTGGAGCATCCTTGGTAAAGGGGAACCAATTTTGTATAAACGGTGGGTGTGGCCCCTCTGGGACCTGAGGGGCGGGGCCCAATATGGGAAATATAGGTAAAACCTTTATAATCCCACTTCTACCATAGGGATTAAGGGATATTTTCCTAATTTAGTCTGGAACATCCTTAGGCAAAAGGGACTCAATTTCGTATAAACAGCGAGTGTGGCCCCCCTGTGGGCAGAAGGGAGGGGCCCAATAGGGGAAACATAGCAAATTGTTCAAAATCCTTCTTCTTCTGTAGGAATGACAGGATTTTGTTCCAATTTGGTATGAAGCAGCCTTGGTTGAAGGGGAAACAATTTTGTATAAGCAGTGGGTGTGGTCTACCAGGGGGCAGAAGAGCGGGGCTCATTTGGAGAAATAGAGGTAAAACCTTTAAAACCCTACTTCGACCATCACGATTATGGGATTTTATCCTTATTTAGTCTGGACCATCAATGGACCAAAGGGACTCAAATTTGTATAATTGGTGGGTATGACCCCCTAGGTTGCATAGCGGTGGGGCTCTGTTTGAAGTTTGTTCTTGCCATATCTCAAGTACTGGATGGATCTTTCTGAAATTTCATATGTATTTACAGCACGTACTTCATACCAATTATTTTAAACAAATTCAGGTGAGCGATACAGGCCCTCTGGGCCTCTTGTTTAACAGTCTCTTACTCCTAGACCTGTTTTGTTAACAGATCCAGGATGTGGTCCCGATCTCAAGTTACGACACAGCTGGCTCCTTCCTTCTGCTTGGTTGTGAAAATGGATCCATATATTATATAGGTAAACACTGGTTTTGACCGAGCTAATCACAACAAAGTGAAACCTATTGTAGTTTTAATTACTATTTGGTTGATAAAAAGTTTTCCACCCTGCTGGTACATATGTTCATAAATTTGGTGCAAACCATGAACAACTGCCGAAGTTTATGTAGTACAAGTTTATAGTTTATGTAATACAAGTTTATGTAGTACAAGTTTATAGTTTATGTAGTACAAGTTTATAGTTTATGTAATACAAGTTTATGTAGTACAAGTTTATAAAGTACAAGATTATAGTTTATGTAGTACAAGTTTATGTAGTACAAGTTTATAGTTTATGTAGTACAAGTTTATGTAGTACAAGTTTATAGTTTATGTAGTACAAGTTTATAGTTTATGTAGTACAAGTTTATGTAATACAAGTTTATGTAGTACAAGTTTATAGTTTATGTAATACAAGTTAATAGTTTATGTAGTACAAGTTTATAGTTTATGTAGAACAAGTTTATGTAGTACAAGTTTATAGTTTATGTAGTACAAGTTTATAGTTTATGTGGTACAAGTTTATGTAGTACAAGTTTATAGTTTATGAAGTACAAGTTTATGTAGTTCAAGTTTATAGTTTATGTAGTACAAGTTTATAGTTTATGTAGTACAAGTTTATGAAGTACAAGTTTATAGTTTATGTAGTACAAGTTTATGTAGTACAAGTTTCAGGCAACACAGTACAGTAGAGGATTTCAGACAATTTCTAATTTTTTTGTATGAATTTTCATGAAATGAGCTTCTATCCCTCTGCAGTTTGTATATATTACATTAGTTTACTGGAGCCCACACTTTTAAGCTCACCTGGCACAAAGCACTAAGTAAACTAATGTGATGGTACAGTGTCTGGAACCTATACATCCAGCTTCTATTTTCCCTTCATATTTAAGATCTGTAGGGCAACATTGATATTTGGCCCATCTCTATCCGGTTTGTTTAAATAAATTACTTTGGTTTACACTCATAGTTATATTGGTTATATATGGTTAGAAAAAATTCAAATGTCTTTTAATGATCTGTAAGGTCTAAAGTAATCCTACTTTACTTGTACCTCACTGAAATGAAGGACAATCAAGTTTGTTCAATTAAGCAATGAATGTTTTAGCAAATGTTAAAATGCTAAAATATTCACTATTTATATTTACATTTGATAGAGTAGTTATGCTTTATTTAGTTATTTCGAACAGTAATGAAATTGATGACATCACAATAGAGATTGATGAAGTTATAATAGCAAATGTTGTTATAGTCTCATAACAACATTTGCCTTCGCAATGCATTACACTGGGAGGATGCAGAGCAAATGTAAATATATGAATATGACTCAAAGTTTAAGATCCTTTGTATCTCGATGAGAGATATCAAAATAAGACATCACCACAGAGAATACTTGACTCAGAAGTGTAAACTTGGCTATTTACTACATAGATGTTCACCTATATTTCTAACACATTAATCACAGATATGCAGAAGTTCCCACTACGTATGAAGGACAACGACCTGTTGGTGACAGAGCTGTATCGAGACCCGGCTAACGACATGGTGACAGCACTGAGTGTATACCTCACCCCCAAGACAAGTAAGACTGCAGACCTTGGGTTTCATTTATCACAGATCAAGTGTCTTGTATTAATTTTTCCCGAAGTTGATGTCACAGGTGGGGTTTTGAAGATCTGACAAGGTTTAATCTTCTGTTTCTAATACTCCTCTTGGTGAGGTACATCTAGTTACTGCAAAACCAGATTTAGTTATCCCTTCTCAAAGCAGGCATATCATTATAGTTCAATGGGCTGACTGGTGTCATAACCTTGTCCAAATTTCTTTTAGGGATGACTGCATGATATTAAAAGTTCACCAGATTTTCCTTTAAATTATCTGCGTGTGAAAAAAGTTTTTCAACTTGTCCTTGTATTGGGACGTCTGTTGTTAAAAGCTTGTCAGCTGATCCTCTGATGGGACAACTAGTGTTAGCAGTTGTAATGGTTTTAATTGGTTGTGGCTGATTGTAAAAGCTTTTCAGATTGTCCTTTTAAGGGGTGTAAAAGCTTGTCAGATTGTCCTTTTAATGGGAGGATTGGATGTTTTAATGGGCTGACTATCCCCAGGCTGACCTGTGGTCTTTCATGGTCATGAGAAGAAAATCAACTTTTTTCACATTTTTAATTGTTTGGAATGAGCAGCATTTGGTTGACGAGGTGTTGTGGTTGACTAATTAGACGTTTGTGTTTTACAGATCTGTCTTTGGACTGCAGTATGTGATCTTATTATGTTAGCATGTCTCACTGTTCAGTTTGTTCATTCAGCAGCATGTCTTGTTAAACAATGAGTTTGGCTTTTCTTCATTTCTGATTCGTTTATTCCGTGGAAAACAAATTGTTGCTTTTCTGTTTGCAGACCATCACTTTTTTGTTCTGTTTTCAAGAAAACTTCTTAATCTTAAATATTATATTCAGCTGTTTTCTGTTGTATGCTGGAAATAACTTACTATTTTTAGTTAGATTTCAATTTTTAATTTCAAACAATATTTATTTTACTTAACAATGAGGAATAACATTCAATGACAAAAAAGGGTAAAAAATCTGCTTTATATTTATCATATAAATGTATTTTAAACATTCTGTCTTTGTGTGAGGATCATTAATATGTACAGGCCTCACTTCAAAATGTTTAAATAATTATTTGTTAGATAGTATTTCTGTCACAGTCGACTGAACTGGATAATACAAAATTATCAATAACTTGTAAGTGACAAACTAGAATTTATTTCCAGTGATTAATGTAATGTTCACGATTTCTGTATTTACATATCTCACTTAAAAAGTGAGTGTTTTGTAAGAATGAAATATATTGTTTTATAAAGTTATAATATTTAAAATACTTCCCTGACTTCCAAAAGCATTTTTGATCTGGAAAATAGATTTTTTTTACTATTTTATTTTCACCATTCAACTTGCGGTTTGATATGTTCAAAAATCTGTCATACATAACATGTTCTTGCTCAATGCTCAATCTTTACAAAGATGCAATGATACAAATATTAACAGTATGTTTGTTACGATGTTACCTATGTACCGTGGGCTGTAGATTGACTCTCCAGCTTAGGTCTAACATACACCGTACTAGCTAGGCTTTATTCACTATATTACAATTGGGGCATGTGGCTTTGATATTGTGAAAATTGTGTCGCTGGAAATTTAAAATAGGAACTTTCATAATTATGTCAAAAGTTTAATTTGTTTTACTAAGTACAATTTTGAAAATTCAAACCTGTCTTATTTATGAAAAAATAATTCATTTTAAATGTTGATTGTCCTCTGTCAGCACGCAAGCAGAAAATAAGGTAATTTTGGAAGGGTGGGTGTTTCAGTTGGAAAAAATATGAGAAAATTTGAGAAAAATCAATGCAAAAATATAAGGTGCAAACTCAATGACAGAAGATTAACTTCAGCAGTATTGTCAATGTGAACAAATCAACAACGATAATAGTTTGAAGAAGTATTTTTTTTTACCGTACATGTACAATATTCTCATGGTATAGGTGGTAAAGGAACAAACAGTATCAAGACTTCAGCATGAAACAGCAAATTATAAAAATCTGTCTATAATTGCATGCTGCCTCTGTCTCATGTCCCTCTCATTGGTAGTGAGTTGACAATTTGGTTGTATTAGTTATTGAAACTCCTAATTTCTTAGCATTTATACTCGGTTCCCTGCAAACAATGACAATACATCGATTGAAGTTTTACTGGTTCAACATAGGCTATTATTTCCCTTTACTGCAGGGAAATTCCCATTAAACAAACAAGTAAACACTAATTTATTAATACCATGTCCATTTACAATGTACCTATAACTAGTGCTACTTGGCTGTAGAATCATTTCCTCAGATTTTATATCTTAATATAATACATACATAAACAATCGAAGTTGCTCTACAGACCACCTGTCTATATTGATAACTTGTCAATATTCATTACCTGTCTATAAATACCACCTGTCTATTGTGATCATCTGTCCATGACAACCACCTGTCAATAACTCACACCTGTCTATTGTGATTACCTGTCTATAACCAGCACCTGTCTATAATTACCATTTGTCTATTACTAGAACCTGTCTATAACTACCACCTGTCTATAACTGCCACCTGTCTATTACAATAACCTGTTTATAAACTACCACCTGTCTATAACTACCACCTGTCTATAACTACCACCTGTCTATAACTACCACCTGTATATTTTAATAACCTGTTTATAACTACCACCTGTCTATAACTTCCACCTATCTATTACAATAACCTGTCCATAACTACCATCTGTATATTACAATAACATGTCTATAACCACCACCTGTCTATAACTACCACCTGTCTATTACAATAACCTGTCTATAACTACCACCTGTCTATTGCAATAACCTGTATATAATTCCACTTATCTATAACTACCACCTGTCTATAACTACCACCTGCATATTACAATAACCTGTCTATAATGACCACCTGTCTATTACTACTACCTGTCTATTACAATAACCTGTTTATAGCTACTACCTGTCTATAATGACCACCTGTCTATTACAATAACCTGTCTATAACTACCACCTGTCATTAACTACCACCTGTCTATAACTACCAGCTTTCTTGTGTTCACCTGTCTATCACTGTTGATATTTAGATTTCAAGACACAACTAGATTTGGATTGTTGTCTGTTTTCACGGGTTTGAGTTTGGATTGTTGTCTGTGTACCCAGGTTTGAGTATCGTTGTCTGTGTTCACAGGTTTGAGGATCGTTGTCTGTGGACACAGGTTTGAGTATCGTTGTCTTTGTACACAGGTTTGAGTATCGTTGTCTGTGTACACAGGTTTGAGTGGGAACTGGATAGAGATTGCCTACGGTACAAGTTCAGGAACAGTACGTGTGATTGTACAGCACCCGGAGACGGTCGGTCATGGACCACAGCTTTTCCAAACCTTCACAGTTCACCGCAGTCGGGTCACCAAGGTCATGTTGTCGGAGAAGAACCTTGTATCTGGTGAGTCGACTTTTACTGTTTCACTATATCTTTCAATTGCTGTTCTTGTTAACATATTTTCGGTTCAGGTATTTTTTGTAGAAACTTTTGAATTTATTCAAAAAATGTATATATTATTAGTACGGCCTTGTAAATTTGTTTTACTCAGACAAGTTAAATAATTTTTATTTTCCTGTGAAAATGACGCCACATCTCACATTCCCAGATAATATATAAATATTAGCCTTGTTTGCTTCTTGTTTACTGCCAAAATTCAATTATTATGCAAATTACAGTTACACCAAGTCATGTGAACAAAAACCTGGGATATAGCTATAACTGAGCTTGTTTGTTTTTGCAGTGTGTTCGGAATACAACCATGTCAGGACCTGGAGCGTGACCAGGTTCCGTGGAATGATCTCTACCCAACCTGGATCCACACCCCTTGCCTCCTTCAAAATTATCTCCCTTGATGATATGGACTCCCATAGTAGTGCCCACGCTGGCACTGACTTTGGTACGACACTGTATTCCTAAAATTTTGTTTGATAAGATTGTAAAGAAATTGTTTCTAAATAATTAAGCTTCCTGCTGCAGGTGATTTTCAGTTGTTTACATATTTCATGCAAAGTAAGGATTTATCTTACCTGTAAAGAAAGTTTTCATTTGGGATAATGAAAAGGTATGTAGCGTGAATTTATAAGGGATTTTTTTTGTTGAACTTACATTTTTTGCTTTCTTTTAAATCATCAGTATTTTATGCCAACATAAATTCATTTAACTTAATTTCATATGTTAATTCTGTTTTTATTGGTAGAAAGTTGTTATATCTCATTATTCTATTGAGAAACTTTCTTTTCTGTTGATGTGATTGAGATATGTAAACATCACAAAAATTAAGTCCTGTAATTACTGGTACACAATAAAGATGAACATTCATGTAAATCCATCTTTTGAACTTCAGACTGATCTGTAATCATATGAACCAATCAAATAAATATTTCATGTGTATTTATCTGGTACATAAAACTTAGAATTAATGTATATTATTTTCATGATAATAGTCAGAATTGATAGGATTCAGGATGGATATAATTATAATCGCTTTGCAGCAAATTTAAAGGATATTAGTAAGATGGCGAAGTTTGACATTCATCTGAACACTGATATGTTTTTAAGGTCCGTTTGGTGAACAGGACGACCAGCAGGTATTTATCCAGAAGGTTGTACCGGACACAGATCAGCTGTTTGTACGCCTGTCGTCCTGTGGCAAAAGGTAAAACCTAACAGTGGGACTTAAACATGAATTGTGAATTTCTTATCATAACAAAAAGTGCTTAGTGAAGAGTGGTGACTTTAATTGGATGGCAAATCGGTCTGGTTAAGTGTTGTCATTCTCATGTGATGATAGGAAGGGAATGTAAATTTTCTTTTTGGTTCCATCTGTGAGTTAATTACCTGGATAGTGTGTTGAAATATGTAAATGCGTAGAAAACAAACGAATGTATTGTTTTTATCCTTCATGCTTTTATTCCCAATTTTGTAACTAAGCACAACAAACCAAATGTAAAATTGCTAAACATGTTCTGACAAGAAGTATAGCTGGCATGTAATATCAGAAATTGTCTCCCCTTAGACCATACTTTAACATGGCATCACTATTTTATCAGAAATTGTCTCCCTTTAGACAATACTTTAACATGGCATCACTATTTTATCAGGAATTGTCTCCCCTTAGACCATACTTTAACATGGCATCACTATTTTATCAGAATTTGTCTCCCCTTATACCATACTTTAACATCGCATCACTATTTTATCAGGATTTGTCTCCCCTTATACCATACTTTAAAATGGCATCACTATTTTATCAGAAGTTGTCTCCCCTAAGACCATACTTTAACATGGCATCACTATTTTATCAGAATTTGTCTCCCCTTAGACCATATTTTAACATGGCATCACTATTTTATCAGAATTTGTCTCCCCTTATACCATACTTTAACATGGCATCACTATTTTATCAGGATTTGTCTCCCCTTATACCATACTTTAAAATGGCATCACTATTTTATCAGAAATTGTCTCCCCTAAGACCATACTTTAACATGGCATCACTATTTTATCAGAATTTGTCTCCCCTTAGACCATATTTTAACATGGCATCACTATTTTATCAGGAATTGTCTCCCCTTAGACAATACTTTAACATGGCATCACTATTTTATCAGAACTTGTCTCCCCTTATACCATACTTTAACATGGCATCACTATTTTATCAGAATTTGTCTCCCCTTATACCATTCTTTAAAATGGCATCACTATTTTATCAGAAATTGTCTCCCCTAAGACCATGCTTTAACATGGCATCACTATTTTATCAGAATTTGTCTCCCCTTATACCATTCTTTAACATGGCATCACTATTTTATCAGAATTTGTCTCCCCTTAGACCATACTTTAACATGGCATCACCATTTTATCAGAAATTGTCTCCCTTTAGACCATACGTTAACATGGCATCACTATTTTATCAGGAATTGTCTCCCCTTAGACCATACTTTAACATGGCATCACTATTGATATCAGAAATTGTCTTCCCTTAGACCATACTTTAACATGGCATCACTACTTTATCAGAATTTGTCTCCCCTTAGACCATACTTTAACATGGCACCACTATTTTATCAGAATTCGTCTCCCCTTAGACCATACTTTAACATGGCATCACTCTTTTATCAGAATTTGTCTCCGCTTATACCATACTTTAAATGGCATCACTATTTTATCAGAAATTGTCTCCCCTTAGACCATACTTTAACATGGCATCACTCTTTTATCAGAATTTGTCTCCGCTTATACCATACTTTAAATGGCATCACTATTTTATCAGAAATTGTCTCCCCTAAGACCATACTTTAACATGGCATCACTATTTTTTCAGAATTTGTCTCCCCTTAGACCATACTTTAACATGGCATCACTATTGATATCAGAAATTGTCTTCCCTTAGACCATACTTTAACATGGCATCACTATTTTTATCCACTAAGAAAGCCATAAAGACATATCATAATTTTCCATGTTTTAAATTTCTTAAAATAACACATCATACATATTTTCTGCCATGTTAAAATGAAAACAATTACATGATGTCATTCTTTAATAATAATCTAAGATTTGCCTATCTCGCCCCAAAAAGAATAAATAATTAATTTTATCTTACTGGGAGGTTGTGTTGATAATGTCTCTGTACTATTTCAGAGTCTGTGTGATTAAGTCTGTAGATGGCAGTGCCATCAGTGCTTTCTGTGTACACGAGTGTGAAGGCTCCAACAGAATGGGGTCACGACCCCGTCGCTACCTGTTCACGGGACATTCCAATGGCAGTATACAGGTAAATATACCACATTTTTTTCTGCAGTTTATTTAACAGTAGATTCACCATTTGACTTCAGTTACGCCAAAGATGTTATTGATCATTCGGTTCTTCAATTGGTTCCTCTGCGTTCTAAAGCCACTGGATGCATTCTTATAAAATAAATAGCTTTTTTAGCTAACCTGCCCAAAGGGCAAGTGACTCAATTTTGGGTTTAGACGCCCTGGGGGCAGAGTTTCAGGGCCCAATAAGGAGAACTGTGGTAAAAACCTTTGACATCCTTCTACAATAGGGATTAAGGGATTAAGGGATTTCATCCCAATTTGGTCTGGAGCATCTTGGGCCAATGGAACTCAGTTTTGTATAGATTGTGGGTGTGGACCCCCAGAGGGCTAAGGAGTGGGGCCCAATAGGGGTAATTGAGGTAAAACCTTTTAAATCCTTCTACTGTAGGGATTAAGGGATGTTATCCTAATTTGGCCTGGAGCATCCTTGGGCCAAGGGGACTTGATTTTGTATACGCGGTACTAGGTGTGGTCCTCCTAGGGTAAGACGGGTAGGACCCAATAGGGGAAAATAGAGGTAAAAAAATACTTTTGAAATCGTACTTCTACAATAGGGATTAAGGGATTTCATCCCAATTTTGCCTAGAGCATGCTTGGACCAAGGGGACTCAGTTTTGTAAAAATGTTGGGTTTTGACCCCCTGTGGGGAGAGTTGCAGGGCCCAATAGGGAGTATAGAGGTAAAAACCTTTGAAATCCTTCTTCTACCATAAGAATCCAGGGATTTTATCCAAATTTAGCCTGGAGCATGGGGACTAAATTTTGTATTAACGCAGGATGAGAATCCTCTGGGTGCTGAGAGTTGCGGGGCCCAATAGGGCAATTCGAGGTTTAATCTTTCTTCATCTGTACCGTTGGAGGGATTTTATGTAATAAGAATACTTTCCCATGGTTGCTTTATTTTCTAGGTGAGCAATACAGCCCTCTGGGCCTCTTTTTTATTAATACAACATGTGAAAGTTATAAGAGACTATTATTACTGCCAATGAACCTAAAACAACTAAGATTTAACTCCTTTAACATTGAGATATGTCTATTTGCATAGCGATGGCTATATGGCATTTTATTAACCAGTGAGTCAACCCCCAAAAATTACTAAAGTGGAACAGAGATGACTGACCAGTCCAATAACTAATTGTCAATTGTCCCTTCAAGCAATGAAATGAAATTGATAATATTTGATGTTGACATTTGAAATGATAACAATCGTTATGCTAAATCTTGCACGGAGCTAACCAATTGTCCTTATGAAACACATTTTTTATTTTATGTCAAAATGAAGCATCACTGAATGGCACCAGTTCTAGAGGAAATTTGAGTTTTGCAAAAAGTCATTTTGTAGAAATTAAGTTACATTTGAAATGAACTGAAGAGGCCATAGTTTTAACTCATTTTGTGCATTGCTTGATTACAGATGTGGGATTTAACAACAGCTATGGACTTGCTGAACAAAGCCGAACAAAAACAAGGTAAAGTTTAGACTCCATGGTTCAGTACACAACAAGGTAAAGTTTAGACTCCATGGTTCAGTATACAACAAGGTAAAGTTTGGACTCAATGGTTCAGTACACAACAAGGTAAAGTTTAGACTCTATGGTTCAGTACACAACAAGGTAAAGTTTCGACTCCATGGTTCAGTGCACAACAAGGAAAAGTTTAGACTCCATGGTTCAGTGCACAACAGCGTAAAGTTTAGACTCCATGGTTCAGTGCACAAAAAGGTAAAGTTTAGACTCCATGGTTCAGTGCACAACAACCTAAAGTTTAGCCCCCATGGTTCAGTGCACAACAAGGTAAAGTTAAGACTCCATGGTTCAGTGCACAACAAGGTTAAGATTAGACTCCATGGTTCAGTACACAACAAGGAACAGTTTAGACTCCATGGTTCAGTGCACAACAACCTAAAGTTTAGCCCCCATGGTTCAGTGCACAACAAGGTAAAGTTAAGACTCCATGGTTCAGTGCACAACAAGGTTAATTTTAGACTCCATGGTTCAGTACACAACAATGTTAAGTGTAGACTCCATGGTTCAGTGCACAACAAGGAAAAGTTTAGACTCCATGGTTCAGTATACAACAAGGTAAAGTTTGGACTCAATGGTTCAGTACACAACAAGGTAAAGTTTGGACTCCATGGTTCAGGACACAACAAGGTACAGTTTAGACTCAATGGTTCAGTACACAACAAGGTACAGTTTAGACTCCATGGTTCAGTAGAATCCATGGTTCAGTGCACAACAAGGTAAAGTTAAGACTCCATGGTTCAGTGCACAACAAGGTAAAGTTTAGACTCCATGGCTCAGTACACAACAAGGTACAGTTTAGACTCAATGGTTCAGTACAGAACAAGGTAAAGTTTAGACTCCATGGTTCAGTATACAACAAGGTAAAGTTTGGACTCAATGGTTCAGTACACAACAAGGTAAAGTTTCGACTCCATGGTTCAGTGCACAACAAGGAAAAGTTTAGACTCCATGGTTCAGTATACAACAAGGTTAAGTTTAGACTCCATGGTTCAGTGCACAAAAAGGTAAAGTTTAGACTCCATGGTTCAGTACACAACAATGTTAAGTGTAGACTCCATGGTTCAGTGCACAACAAGGTTAATTTTAGACTCCATGGTTCAGTACACAACAAGGTAAAGTTTAGATTCATGGTTCAGTGCACAACAAGGTCACAGGTTTCAAATATTTGGCCAGTATCATGCTAGGATGAAGAGATGTCAAGTTTGTACGAAGTTTGATTTTTTTCCTACTGTCAAAGGTTCAAAAGGGTTAAAATTGTTCAGAATAGCCAAGAGACCTAGGGGAATGATATCTGGCCAGCAGCATGTTAGATGAAGTGATCACAGGGCTCACCATAGATGACTTGAATAAAAAATAGGTCAGCCTAATGTAATGATATTCTTTTCTGAGTTAATTTCCAAATAATTGCCTATCAGACCCAGACAGTAAAAACTGCCGACAGATGCGTCTGTTAATGAAAATGTTATGAGGTACATTTAATCAATATCAGGGGAACCATGTGTTTTTGAATCGTTAACAAAGTTTTATGTATGTAAGCTAATGGTGTAAGGTGATGTGATATGTGGAATCTGTTGAGGTCAGGTCAGTAAAACAAGTTAAAATCTTTTGACCTTTCATCAGGTGTAAAGTAATGATATTTAGCCTACCTTTATATATGTATTTAATCGCGACCGTCACTACCGTTGAAGATTACATTTGTGAAATGACAGGTGAGCAATACAGGCCAATTAGGGCTCTATTTAATGACATTTTGTTTCCTACTTCACAGAATCAACCCTGGGCGGCCCCACTCCTGGTGAGTTGATCCGCCTTCTTGACCAGTGTGACTTGTCATCAAGAGCTTCCACCCCCTGTGTGAGCCCCTGCCCTTCTGTCCTTCTTGTACCTCCCGTCAGTCAGTGCTACCAAGGGAGCCATCACTCTTTGACAACATTGAACACGGCGAGGGTTCAGGACGACGCTGAGCTGGGGGCGGTAGGAGGTGTGGAGGAGGAGGGAGCCAGAACACTACAAATGGACACCCAGGTTACACGTATCTGACAGGTAAAGTCACTCAGGAAAATCTCCAGCAAAGTCATTTGTGTAGTAAGAATAACTTGTATATATTAATAAAGTAATCAGCTTGTTACTTTGATATTTTGTATCACTCAAGGTAATATTTCATAATTCTGTGAAGATAAAATTTGAAATTATCTCCCCTTAGACTGTTATTTAAATCACTGTTTCAATGTTTAAAGAGAACAATTCTATAGATCACTTTTTTTTTGTCAGAATTTTTACTTATTCATATACAATGTAAACAAAAAGACAACAATTTTTTTTCTTTTTTAATAAGATGTAACCTGATGAATCTTCCATATACTCATTGTTGTTATTTCATTCCCATGTTACAGATTTTGTGCAGATATTGTCGAGATTGAGATGCCTGCTTTTTGTACAAACACCAGCAGGAAAAGACAAGATAGAAGCTAAATTTGGGGTTGTATTAATTCTCAAAATGAATTTTCTTTTTATAAAAGTAAAGTAGTTGAGACATTGATGTTATATCTGGTTGTAACTTCCTATGGAGAGTAAGCTTTGCTATTTTATGGCCAACTGGGTAGTGGGGTTGTAGATTATAAAAACACTTGGCATAAAACTAGATGTTGTACTGGGTGTATACAGTTTCATTGTAAGCTGTGGGACACCTGCTATTAGGTATATGATGTATATATATTGCCAGGCTATCTTCTGTTTACAATAGATAAAAGATAAACCTTGTTTTTGTCATATTTATTTTGGGTTGCTCAATTTCAAGTATCCATAGTAACCATGATTTACTGTGTATACATAGTGACCACGATTTACTATGTATCCATAGTAACCATGAATTACTGTGTATCCATAGTAACCATGATTTACTGTGGATCCATAGTAACTCTGATTAACTGTGTTTCCTTAGTAATCTTAAATTACTGTGTTTCAGTAGAAACCATGATTTGCTGTGTATCCATAGTTACTGATTTACTTTGTAGCAATAGTAACCCTGATTTACTGTGTTTACATAGTAACCATAATTTACTGTTTCCATAGTAACCCTGATTTACTATGTTTACATCGTTACTCTGATTTACTGTGTATCCATAGACAGTTACATTGATTTACTGTGTTTCCATAGTAACTGATTTATTGTGTTTCCACAGTAACCATGATTTACTGTGTTACTTTATCCATGTTATTTGGTTGTATTATATCTCTGTCATTATTTCTTTTTAAGGCATTTATTAGAAATTGGTAGCAAAATAAGAACCACATGAAAAATTGAATTTGACTAAAAAATAGACTGAACTTTGGGATAATTTTGCAATTTTTGTTCATTGACATGTTAATAGTCCTCTACCGGTGAATTTGAGGGGGGCTCTAGTTTTCCTCTCCAATTACAAAGAACCATCATATCTCGAACAAGTACGTGTTTCAGGGTTGTTGGGTCAAGGTCACCGTTACTATTTTTAGAAAATCCTTGTCAGTGCTCTAGCGGCTTTATTCCTTGAGGGATTTTGATAAAACTTCACACAATTATAAAGGACCATAATATCTCGGACAAGTTTGAATTTCAGGGCTGTTGGGTCAAGGTCACTGTTGTTACTATTTTTAGAATATTCGAGTTTCAGGGTTGTCTGGTCAAGGTCACAATTACTATTTTTTTAGAAAATCCATTGTCAGCACTTTAGTGCCTTCATTCCTTAAGGATTTTGATCAAACTTCACAGAATTACAAAGGACCATAATATTATAAATCATTACAGTGTAATAGCTAGCGGGGACCAGTAGGTGACATGTGTTGCTTTAGCAATACTCAGTATGCTTGTTTATGAAATATGTTAGACCTGCCCGAAAAAATAAGCAATTCCGAGTTTAGCTTTCATGAAAAATATAGCACATGGAAGTTAATAATTGCTACATCATCAGTTTGTTTGAAGATTGCTGATACCCAGACGTTGTAACAATATATTTTGGCATCCTGATATTTTGGTGAGTTTAATTTTAGCTCATTCACGACAAGAGGGAGCAATACCTCTATTAAGATTTTAAAAATAAAGCAAATATAACCGCATCCAAAATATCCCAAAGTACTACAACGTGAATGTTGTAGTTCTGGTACTGTGTTATAAACTGTAGGACTTAGTGTAATATATATTTCCATGAATCAGACACAATTTTCAAATTACAATCATGTACTGCAGTGCTACATTGTATTATTAACTTACAAGGATATATAACTTTTAAATTCAGGGGTAATTTAGTGCTTTTGAGTGTAAAAAGTGCTAAAACATTATTACAAATAAAGTAAGTACAGAACCATATTTGTAGCAACACTTGGCCCAATTCCAGTCTTCACCCGTGACTTTTTCTCCCTCTTGTTACAATAGTACCTTTGACTAACATTGTTTCAAGGAGTGTGGGTGTACTTTTCTATGGGATAGTATAATGTGGGCAGTAAACAGTTTTGTTGTCTCTGGGGGCCAAGATGAAGGAGGGAGGTGTGTAGCTGCTGGTTTGAGTGTCCAGGTGGGGAGTTTTTAAGTTCAAATCCCTTTGTGGTCCTGTTACATTTTCTCTATCCTCCTACATTTCATGGGGACATTTTCATTTAAGACTGAATTAGTTTGTATGGTTTCTGCTGAAAGTTGTTTTAATACCTATACCTATATTTTTAAATGAAAGATCATCTCAAGGACATCTGGTTTTTGAGCTTCTTATGAGTTTTTTTATGAGCATAATAAATCCATGATTGTTTTAAATCACAAATGTAACTTATTAAGCTTTTTTTCTGGCATTAGATCTGATGCTGCATGTATATATACTGAATGAAGGTTTAATTCTATAGTGCCATATATGTGAATCTGTTATACGGTGAAGTACATGCTATCCCAAGCCCGAGTGTCAGCTCCACTTGTTCCAGGGTCTTGCTGTTTGGTGATTGTTCAGTGAATATTTTATGTCTTCATGATTGTAGTAAAATCCTGTAAAGCCTTGGAAATTCTGTGTATTCATAAGTAATCACCAAAAAGTGGGGTTTTGAGATAAGTTGACCTGACAATTGGTGCTTGTCTAGTCAGACAGAAGACAAATACTTGTCCACACATTTACTTTGTTAGTTATCTCTCTAAAACTTTTAAAGTGACCTCAGATTTATTTCATTATCATCAATGTGATGTACTATGTGCTCAATTTAATTGTCACTAATTACATAGTTCAAATCTTCACAGGCTGTGCAGTTGTGGAACTTTTTTGGAAAGGAGATTCATGTTACAATGAGGTAGCATACACCCTTAGTTGATACTGTTTATAGTTTGTGGAATATGAAAAATCACCAAATTAGTGTATATTTCTTGTCAAACTGCCTCTAATCTGTTCTTTTACTAACGTGCAAATAACTAGGCCTACATGTATTATTAAGTTTCATTAAAAGTTCCATTTTTGTATGTGTACGGAATGCCTCAGAATAACGATTTATTTGACAGTTTGTTTCATGATGTTGCTTTAAACTTGATGTATGTTGTTTTATTAGTGTAATTACTGCGACGCGTTGTAGATTTCTGTATCATCTCAGATGACCTTACTGATCTCAAACTGCTACAAAGATATCTGGATTTGATCAGATAAAATATACTGACCAAGAACCAAATTTCATACAATTTACTTATTTCAAACTTTTCATCCAATAAAAGATGTAAAACAGTTTGGGGTTGTGCAAGGGGATGTAAAATAGATTATTTAACAGTGCACAATAAGGGTAAAACCGACCATGACAGTCCACATCACTGTAATGAGGAATAGTAGCCGTTAGTGTGAGTGTGCTGAACCTTGTGTTGTAAATAATGATCTGTTTTAGGTTTTGAGGTCAACTAGTCCTATCAATCGTTGGTGAAGACATTTATGTGTCCTGTGTAAGGTTGCATACTGTGATATTTGTAGACCCCATTGTAATATACCGTTCTTTTAACACTGTTGTATATTGATGGTCACAAAGACCTGTATTTTATTTATGAATTAAAGTGACATGAAATGTAAACATCAGTACAATTGTTTTTTCTCACACTTCAAATTTTTATCAATGCATAGAAAATAAATGTCAATTAATTTCTTGAACAAATTTATTTTACAAATGTAGCAGATTCTCAATATCTGTTGCCACCATCATCATCATCATCATCATCATCATCATCATTATAAAAACTAGTAGTAATCAGATTAAGATTAAAGAGTACATTATGTACTTTAATAAATATGAATTCCTGAACCTTTCTTCGCCACAAAGAATTGGCAATATATTGGTATAATAACCTAATATAGCTCAATCAACATAAAACGTCTATTGTCTATATCAACCATCATGTTACTATTATATATTATCTGAGCTTTTCCCGAAACAATTGCATGGAGGGCCTGGAAAACGGGGAGGCACTGTGCTGTGACCACCTAAACCCTGTGGTCCACTACATACATGTTACCAATTTTTCTTATCATACCATCACCCATTTATCAATTAATCATTATTGGAGGCATGCCAAGATCTGACCACAATTTCTTAATGTGAAAGTAGAATGTCTTTGCTTTTATGATGATTGGCACCATCATTGGAAATACAACAATACAGCAGATTTCATATCAATCAATCAAGAACATAGTTGGTGAGGAAGGGAAAGATACTAAAAATTAAAGCAGTAAACATTAAATTTGCAGCAAGTTCCTCAATAATTATTTATTTCCAAATGGTGATGTTATCTGCTGTCTATCCTGCCTTCATGTATTTCTCACAAAGATGACAACTGTGTTGGTTTCTGTCTGGACTGGCTGTAGATACCTGCCGTCATGTATTCCTCACACAGATGACGACTGTGTTGGTTTCTGTCTGTTCTGGCTGTAGATATTCTTCAATGTAGCAACCAGGTGCACAGATGTTGTATAAAGTTGTCTCACATAAAATATGTGTGTCTTGTATAGAAAAGTTGTCTCACATAAAATATGTGTGTCTTGAAGAGGTGGGAGAGAGTGCCTCCCTGCCTTCACCTCTTGATATATATGCAAATCCTTGAATAGCCCCACAGAGAATGTACAAAGATTTATTTGAATTCGAATACAACTCTGATTTTGGTATAAACATGAGGAGGCCCCTCGTAATCGACAAAACGTGTACTACTAACGTTTATAAAGGGAACACAGTCTGACAGACATGTTTCCTCACATGGTACTTAAGTCTGATCAAACTTTATATCACTGTTTCCATTTCTTCACTATCTATCGCCGAACCCGTTAAACATGTTTCCACCGCCTCCAAACTTGCCCTGTGCTCCTTGTTGGAACTGTCTCATCATGTTCTGTATACCCTGCATGCCTCCTGTAAGTAGAGAAATACATCCTTGTTTATAATAAGATAGGATACATTTTAGGGTAACATGCACTAAAATGTAGTGCCACATTTGTCCAGTCCAATGCTGGCATTACATCCATCAAGGGGAATGGTGATGGAAACTGTTGGCAGTGTGTGAAATGGCAAATGAGTCCTAAAATTTATACTGTATATATAAACAATGGGCATTATACCAAAGTTGAAGTCATAAGATTTATACTGTATAAATAAACAATGGCATTATACCAAAGTTAGCATCATACAATTATAAGTGATACTGTATATACTGGGCATTCTATTTAAGTAAAAAGAGTGTACCAACCAAGTGGTATTGCATAAAGACTTTGCTGTCATTACAGTGACGAATTAGTGGGTGATGTTACACGGCATTAAATCAGGGTCAAAGTAATAGCCTTAAACAAGACACAATTTAATGTCAGATTAAGATGAAAATCAGCTAAGACATAATATACAAATTTTCAAAACAACTTGTTTAATTGTGGACTTTGTGTTCTACATCATTTCATTCCAAGGACACCTGATCATTTTGAATGTTCAAAACAAAACAAATACACTCTTAATAGGCCATACAGTATTGATGGCATTAAGATAAAAAGATTGTTGATTGTGTGTATGTTTAACAAATAACTCGTGACGTCCACGTCCACTTTGACTCGGGCACCTACCCAGTATATTGGTTAAACACTTACCCATCTGTTGCAGGACTCGAGGATCCATCATCTTGGCCATTTGTTGATTGATCTTTGTCATCTGGGCGGGGTTCACATTTTTACTCATGTCGCCTCCTACAGAAAAATATATTTTACTCAGAACACATTCAATCTCCCAACAACATTTCACTATATAATATCAACGTTTTATATCGAGTAATTAAGATTGGAAAATAAACCCGCAGAATATACCATTCCTTACTTCTACTGTAACTTTGCTTAGCATGGTTCTCCGCAGAATTTGTTTAAGCTGATATGTTTCATTTTCAACAGACGTTCAAGACAGGCACAGCACTAGCATGCTCAACAATACCATATCAAATATGGGGGAGGGAGTCATCATGTAGATGTGGCCCTTAGTTTCTATTTCTTTAAACAAGTACTTATATTTACCAAACTTTTGGTTAATTTTAAAACAAAGCTGATACAGCAGGGTCATTTTCTACCTGAAGCTGATGTTTTTTATGGTAAAATTCAAAATTAAAAGGTTTTTTAGAAACGAAGATAAAAAATGCCTGTGATAAACTACCTTTACCTTTGAACAGGCCCTTGATTCCACCCATTTTCTTCACCATTTGTGCAAACTTTTTGTACTGGGTGAGCAGTTCGTTGACCTCCCTAATGGAGACTCCCGCTCCTCGTGCTACGCGCAGGGCACGCCCCGTCTGCTTGGCAAACAACCGTTCCCCCTCCAAACTGTCAAGCTCTGCAAAGTATTATCAATCAGTTCAAAATCTTTCAGTGTTTATATGAAATGTTCAGCCCATGATCTTATAGTTCATATATAGAAAATATAAACACCAATAAAATAGATATAAAATTGTAGTGGAAATGAAACCGCCTATACCTTGCAAACATGCAACATGTGCCATCAGTTGAGACATGACCTGCATCCCTTCACTAATGTATAAAAGTCAGTTCAGACATGACCTGCACCTCTTCACGAATGTATCAAGGTCAGTTCAGAAATGACCTGCACCCCTTCTCTACTGTATACAAGTCCGTTCAGACATGACCTGCATCCCTTCACTACGGTATACAAGTCAGTTCATACATGACCTGCATCCCTTCACTACGGTATACAAGTCAGTTCATACATGACCTGCATCCCTTCACTAATGAATAAAAGTCAGTTCAGACATGATCTGCACCCCTTCACTACGGTATAAAAGTCGGTTCAAACATGACCTGCCCCTCTTCCCTAATGTATCAAGGTCAGTTCAGCCATGACCTGCTCCCCTTCACGACTGTATACAAGTCAGTTCAGACATGACCTGCACCCCTTCACTACGGTATAAAAGTCAGTTCAAACATGACCTGCACCTCTTCACTAATGTATCAAGGTCAGTTCAGACATGACCTGCACCCCTTCACTACTGTATACAAATCAGCTCAGACATGACCTGCACCCCTTCACTACGGTATAAAAGTCGGTTCAAACATGACCTGCACCTCTTCACTAATGTATAAAAGTCAGTTGAGATATGACCTGCATCCCTTCACTACTGTATAAAAGTCAGATCAGACATGACCTGCAACCCTTCACTAATGTATAAAAGTCAGTTGAGATATGACCTGCATCCCTTCACTACTGTGTACAAGTCAGTTCAGACATGACCTGCATCCCTTCACTAATGTATAAAAGTCAGTTGAGACATGACCTGCATCCCTTCACTACTCTATACAAGTCAGTTCAGACATGACCTGCATCCCTTCACTAATGTATAAAAGTCAGTTCAGACATGGCCTGCACCCCTTCACTACTGTATAAAAGTCAGATCAGACATGACCTGCAACCCTTCACTAATGTATAAAAGTCAGTTGAGATATGACCTGCATCCCTTCACTACTGTATACAATTCAGTTCAGACATGACCTGCACCTCTTCACTACTGTATAAAAGTCAGTTCAGGCATGACCTGCACCCCTTCACTACGGTATGAAAGTCAGTTCAAACATGACCTGCCCCTCTTCCCTAATGTATCAAGGTCAGTTCAGCCATGACCTGCACCCCTTCACTACGGTATGAAAGTCAGTTCAAACATGACCTGCCCCTCTTCCCTAATGTATCAAGGTCAGTTCAGCCATGACCTGCACCCCTTCACTACGGTATAAAAGTCAGTTCAAACCTGACCTGCACCTCTTCACTAATGTATAAAAGTCAGTTCAGACACGACCTGCACCCCTTCTCACTACTGTATACAAGTCAGTTGAGACATGACCTGCATCCCTTCACTAATGTATACAAGTCAGTTCAGACATGACCTGCCCCCCCTCCCTACAGTATAAAAGTCAGTTCAGACATGACCTGCACACCTTCACTACAGTATAAAAGTCAGTTCAGACATGGCCTGCACCCCTTCACTACTGTATAAAAGAGAAATGTTTATCCTACATCTGTCTTATTTAGAAGACAGCAAATCACTATGCGTTGTTTACAACAAATTTAATTAATTATTTCTCCTTGGTCTATAGTTCTCACAGCTGATGCACAATGTTAACATGATTCCTACTTCATATGATATACTTAGCAGAAAAAGTCACCAGAAACATATTATTAAAGTTACTAAAGTATCTGAAGAAGAATTATTTAAGAAAATAATGGTGTCGTATGTCATAGTTTAAGCTGTTCTATACAAGCTGAGCAAAATGACAGATAGAAATTGAAACTGAGGTTGATATTTCTATTCAGGACAATTTCTCCATTAATTGATATTATTATTTTCAAGCAGAAATAAAAATCAATCATACATTATGTAAAAAGTGAATAGTTAATGTAGCCATCTGACTTGCACATTGAATTTATGACCGTTACGTTTATGTATCTACCTGTAATACTATTAAAAGTGACAGATTAAAAAAAATCATTAAGGATTTCTTGAATCTGAGGTACAAACAGGATTTATTGAATCTGAGGTACAAACAGGATTTATTGAATCTGAGGTACAAACAGGATTTATTGAATCTGAGGTACAAACAGCAATTATTGAATCCGAGGTACAAACAGGATTTATTGAATCCGAGGTACAAACAGGATTTATTGAATCCGAGGTACAAACAGGATTTATTGAATCCGAGGTACAAAGGTACAAACAGGATTTATTGAATCCGAGGTACAAAGATCTTAACTAAACAGATTACACAGACCATCCATAGTTGTGTACTCACCTGCATCGTTCATGCTGTCCATGATTGTCATGAGTTTCTTGAGACGGGCCATGGACTCCTGTTCCCCGCCCTTGGTGAGGAAGTCAGAGCTGAACCCGGGTATCATCCCCTGGAAATAAACAGCAAACCCTGTTTAGATATTGGAATATATATCTTTTACACTGAATTGCCTTCTAGAAATATGATCATCATTGTGATATGCTTATTATATTATTTTTCTAAAACATTTGAAAAAGGGCATATCGTTGTTCCTGGTGGGGCATTTCCAGATTTCTGTCACATAGAATATTTTGTTAAATAGCACAAATGCACTTCAATTAAACAAATGTAGATGGTTAGAAAACTCTAATGGTTTATAAACAAATATTGACGGATGGAAAAACCTGATGGTCTGTGACGTCAAAATATCAGTCACATGACCAAATAGTAAATAGTATTAATCTCACGACATGTATTGTGTTCTCTCTGCATGGCAATGAAAAAATACAGAGCAAACGTACATACTGCATATAACACTCTTATTTACCTGTTGTTCAAATCAAACCTAGGATAATTTGGTGGATAAATCATGAAATATTTTACTATTAAATGATTCATACATTATTTCAATTATCTCTGAATATGGAATGAGGTTTTTTGATAGCTTTTCTATTTTGTCAAAGGAAATTATTATATAAAAAAATAGATTTCAACACAAATTTGTCATTATATAAGGAGTTCACTGGTGAACTTTTGTTTTGCTTTTATGCATGTTTATAAAATTCATTTTCATATATTATGAACTATCCACATAAAATTAGATATTCAAACTGATGTTAAAATATTTTATCTGAAATTGTTAAAGAAACCAACTTACTTTCTAAAATAGGTTGTTTTCATTAATTTCTCAAAATTATCTCTAACTTAAATCTGTTTCTTGAAAAAAGAATCTGTATTCAATTCTTTATAAAGAGGAAACTAAATTATTTTGAACTTTTACAACAAAATTAAAACAATAATCAAATTATCTCCCCTTAGACCATATATCAGATGGCTGATACGCAGCAGTGTTTTATTTTGCTTTATTTGACATATATTTTGAGGAGTAGATTGGGTAAAGACCTTTTAATTTAATAGACCTACTTTTGATATGTGCTGTATTTTTGTATCTACCACGGGTAAGCAGAAAACATCACGAATGGACATAAGAAAAGCCACCGCTTATTTCAAATGATCTACCAAATGATATTAATTAAGAAGTAATGAATTTGTCAATTGTGCTCTGACCTTGAACATGACCTGGATATCACAAGCTTCAACATAGGTCAAATGAACCCCTATAGTAAAAGCAAGTGTCAGGGTGTATATAATTAGAACATTGAGGTTGATATTTGGAAGTAAACCTTTTCTCATACTGACCATTATTTGGCTGAATGGCCCCATTTTCATGATGTTCTGGAACTGTTCATACATGTCTCTCAGAGTGAATTGACCTGGATTAAAGAAAAAAAATCTCATTTAAATGATAGTGTATCTTTAAATGTAATAGACATACTTTATCCTTAGTAGGAACAATACACTTTTACGAAAGAGTTGCTTCCCTTGTTTTTTCACAGAAAAATGGTTAAAGAAGTTAACAGTCAACAATTCTGTTTGTTTTTTTCAAAAAGGAGATAACAACTGATTATTTTAGAATAAGTATCTGATAATGAGAAACATAACCCACTTTAGATTACAATGACAACATGTCTTGGACACTTTCAGTAAAATTTCAAACACATCAATATTGAAATATAAGAAAACCTCCTGATTTTTAATGACTATAAAACCTGGTATATAAAGGACACATATCCCTATTATAGATGTGGTGTTCCTTGAATACTTGCACTCTATTGAAGCTACAAACTGAGGCTCTGTGCCTCAAACTAGCTTTAGGGAAAGTCCCCAGACCTATGGTAGAAAGTACCTAGATGTGAAGTTGATCCACTGGCCCTACCTCCCTTATAATGCCATGAAGTGATTTCACTGAGCTGGGAGGTGGTACAGGATGTTGTCACAGCATAGTCATGCAAGTAGTGTACTCGTACACCAACTAAATGGGGCTCATTCTTGAGAAACACCTTTTTTGTCAATAAAGTCTTAAGTTTTGAGATTTTTTCCCTTGTTTTATGTTTACATTTCTAAAATGAAAACAAATTTTCCTTTTTTTCCGGGCTTATATGTACATGTCATGTCTATGTATGTATTTCACGGTGTTTCACAGTTTTGCCTTCAAACTACTTCGTAGTTACAAGTGTGCAAATAAAATTTGGAATTTGAATGCAAATATTTGAACCATACACAGAATAGAAGTATGATAAATTTCACTTGCTCCAATATGTAACAATGTAATATGATAGAAATGATTTTAGTTATATCACGCAAATTTAACTTCTGGATTGGTAAATATCTTTTCTACTGTAAATTATAAGTTCATTTTATCTACATAGTGTTCTGGTCTCACTCTCACTTGGCTGTCTAGGTAGTTAGTTCTCTGTGTGTTAGTCTGAAAACTAAAACACCCCTACTGACTCATGGCAGTCAATTGAAACGACAGAGCCAACCAGAAGAAAAGTACAAAGCTTGTATTGACCTTACCCTTCCTAGTTATTAAGGGTGAGATTCAGGTCCTGAGCATGAGACTCGGCTGGAGGCAACAATTAAAGACTAGACTTGTTTTCGAAACTTGAGGTTAAGAATATTGCTTTTTAAGGAAACTGTATTCTTTTCCCATTTAAAACTATTTCAGCGGGGAGGTTTCCAGCATTCTAGTTCCCTTTGACAAGGCCTATATAAATGACTTGTCTCAGGAAACAAGAAATATGTTTTATCACATAATCGGCCTGTTATCCAGTGAATTCGCCCGTGCAATATTTTTACATATGCCACTAGTGTAATATATCCTGGAGCGTTTTTTCATTGGCTGTGGCAGTCAGAAATCGATCGTGACGTCATAATATGGACAATGATGTGACGTCATAAATTGTGAATGGCGCAACAAAATGGCTGTCTCCGTTTGATTAAGCTCTCTACATTTTGGCTTTAAAACCTGTCAAAATTTAAGAGTTATGTGATAAAAAGTTTCTTAAAAATGTTTTCATTTCATATGAGCTTTTCATATGAGCTTTTATGAAACTCATCTCGAAGTTTTAATTTTTGCTCGCCAAGGCTGGCAAAAATAAAATCTCCTATATATATCCCTCCTGTCCATATTTTTAAGGTTGAATACTGGACTCAAATCAAAGAATATCACATCAACAGTCATTGTTTCACTGTCTTAATTCTTACATCACATTACACTGGTTTCTGTTATAAATTTACCTTGCTTTAGTTTCTTCATCAACTCCTCATTGTCATCCAGTTTGAGTTCATTGACTTTGTCAATCAGCCCCTCAATATCTCCCATTCCTGGAAAAAAAAGTCACAGTAATGTATTGCTTGTATATACAATGGTGTATAAATCACACCTAATGAACATTACTGAATACACTTCTCTGGGCACTTTGGTTTTCCTCGTATATGAAAACCCTCTGTGTGCATCCATATGGGTCAAGTATTGACTGCTGGGTAATGTTAGTTTATGTTTACCTATTATTAAAGAATAAACTTTAATCCTAATTTTAAAATCAAGCACAACTTAAAGTGACTTCTGAAATACCTGTGATGAAATTAATGCTGTAATATCAAAACAATACCAGCACAATATTTGTTCAAAATTGTTAGAAATTGACTAAAGTCAACAAATGTATCAAATGTGTGAATAACTAAATAAAATTCAGATATCATAAAATGGTTCTTACATGTTCTCAGCAGTAAAATAAACATGAGATATCAAGAAAATAACGTTATTTGTGACAAACCTAGGAGTTTGCTGATAAACGGTTGAACCTTAAAGGGTTCAAAGTCGTCTGTGTGTTCTCCTGTCCCTATGAAGATGACAGGACTTTTTGTAGCTGCAACCCTATAAGTAATCAAAAAGAAAATAGTGTTTAAGGTTTGTAATAAGACAGTAATGTACTGAACTATATAAAATATGTCATGAATTTCCAATTCAATAGAGGTTGATGAACAAGTCTGTAAGTTTCCCTTTTAATAAACATCCAATGAGCTTAAACAAAATACAGCACAGTTAGTTTTGTTGACCTGAAGCTCTAAAATATTTTTAAATTAATTCACGATTTTTTCTTCTGATAGCAGCAAAATAATTAGAGGAACATAGTGTTAATTTGGTTGAATTTTGAAAATTCCTTCCCGTTCTGAATTAGCTCCCTTTGACTACTTACGCGCTGAGTGCCCCACCACCTTTAGCATGGCCGTCTAACTTTGTGATGATGACAGAGGCAACGTCAACCTTCTCCTTGAAGGCTCTGGCCTACAGATACAACAAATTTAACTTAACCATACATATTCCCATCCACCATGGTATCCAGAGTTATGTCAAAATGAAATACTAAAGCAAATTATTGTATACAGGACTGTGCTATTGTATGATTTTTTTTACAAATTGTATAAAATGTCATATTTTTTGTAACCATAATTTTTATTTGTAAAGTGTATCAATAACGGGCGTTTGAATGGACCGAGGACAAGCACATGGGGAAAAGAATCCTAGCATGGACCGAGGACAAGCACATTGGGGAAAGAATCCTAGCTAGTTTTGTTGACCTGAAGCTCTAAAATATTTTTCTAGCATGGACCAAGGACAAGCACATGGGGGAAAGAATCCTAGCATGGACCGAGGACAAGCACATGGGGGAAAAAATCCTAGCATGGACCANAACTGAAAAGTGTTTTCATATCCGGGACTCGGAAGTAGTTATCACGAATGTGTTTAAAATCGGAACATTCTATTAAAAAATGCTCCACTGTAAATGGAGTGTCACATGCGTGGCATGAAGGTATATCTTCTCGTTTTAAAAGGTACGAATGAGTAGGATATGTGTGCCCAGTGCGGAGCCGAGCGAGGACAAGAGGAAAGAATCCTAGCATGTTTGTATAATGTCATTGTCAGTGGTTAATCAAAATTATGATTTCACAATTTAACTTTCTAAAGGACAAACTGTCATCATCTAGTTGTACTGAGTGAGGCTGGTGTACTTACCTGGGATTCACAAGCCTGTCCTATAGTAGCGTCCATCACGAATACTACGTTGTCGGGGTCCTGTTTGAAAAAATATGTAATTGCACTGAAATTTCTAATCAAAAGCAAATTTCGGACAAAACTTTTCTTTTGAAGGCAGATCACTTTACACAAACAAAATTAAATAAGGTCAATATATCTTATTATATAAGCACTTAAGAAAACCTTTAAATCACATAAGTCTGGAAGATTTGTTCATATTAATTAGTGATTGTAGAAGATAAATTTCACATTATTCATCATTTTTTTCTGAATAATGATCTGAAGAAACAATTTAAGTTCTAAGCATTGTGGCTGTTTAAACAAATTTACATTAGTGAGGTATGACAGTAATTGTTTTACTGAAAATGATGTATTGGCTTACAACTGCATTGTTGACCTGCAACATTTCCTCAAATAGAGAGTCCTCTTGTTTGTGTCGACCACTTGTGTCAACAATAATGACTTCAAAATTTTCATTACGGAATTTCTCAACACCTTCCTGGGCAATCACAACTGGATCCATCTCTGCATAACTGTAAGTAATATATATATGTTTTATAAAAACAGAGCATCTTTAACATTTAAACACCTGACCAAATATTATTACTGTCTTTTTTTTAAGTTATAGATATAATATTCTTCTCGTTAATGTACAAATAGAATATCATTCAAAATATCTTTATTTTCCACTGAATTTTATTTTATTCAGAAAAATGTTGCTTTTACATCAATTTGTTTTGTATCTAAACATAGCTTTGTTCCACTTAATACCAGAATTCTAATGATTCAAAAAGCACAGGATTTATCATCGATGCTACCAGACCTACCTTCCATAGAAGGGAATCCTGGCTTTTGTAGCATTCTGTTTTAACTGATCAAAAGCTCCAGCACGGAATGTGTCGGCACAAATCAGACAAGTTTTCCAGCCTTTCTTTTGGTAATAGTATGCCATCTGTAAACGGGCAGGAGAGTTTGATAATATGTTTTTAGCGTAAACTTCAATATATATATATGCTTCAGGTTTCAAGAACAACTTTACTGTTTTCCAGCTATTGCAGGAAAAGTTTTTAAATAATAAACAAAAACCATTATGCGCATGTATTAAATGCCAAATCAAATATTCAAACATTTTGGTTATTTGATATTGTAAATTTCATTCTTGTAGAAGCATACCAACAGTTTCCAACCTTATTTTACTGTAGTGAGAGAAAAATGTAACAATTTCTCCTTCTACCAACCTGAAAAATGGTTTTGTAGTGATAACAGGATTTCAACTTTTTTTTTTGCTGTTTTACTGCAGAATACAGGCTGTTTCCCTACCTAAAAAGTGCCTCATTTTCCTAAAATGATCCAAAACTGAGGAATATCTTCCCAATTTCAATGTAAATATTGTTATATTTTCCCAATTAATAAAGGAACAGGCTGTTGTAAAATTTAGCTAGCAAAAACACTGGTCTTTGATTACAACAGTCCGAGTACACATGTGTGTAGCTAAATTTACAAGATTTAACTGCGCCTAATTTTTAATATCAGAAATTATTTTACCTAACTTTGGAAGGCAAAGGAAATGAAGAAAATTTGCAAAATCTTTTTCTTTAAATTTTGAAACAAAAAGCAAAAGATGATCGTTGAGTGACTGAGATGTTACCTTGGTACATGTTGTTGTTTTGCCACTCCCCTGGAGACCAACAAACATGATAACATTATTTTTGCCCTTCATTGGCTGCCAGGCCTTTATACCAGGATCAATCAGCTTCACCAACTCTTTGAAGACAGCAGACTGAATCATCCTGCGCTTATTCAGACCTCCAGCCATTTCATCAAAGTCTATCACAGATCGCACATTCTCTCGCAGCTGTTTTACAAGTTTGATGTTCACGTCTGCTTCCAAGAGAGCTTTACAGATCTCTTTGAGCATTTCATTAAGAACCTGCAAAAGACATAATGTAATTATTGAAGGAATTATAACCAATTTTCCTACTATATTACAAAAATCTAAGTACATTATATAACTTGATATTATTATTATCAGATTTCCATATGTAAGAAAATAAAATCTGCAATTAATTAAATGCACATTAACTGAAGAAGGAAAAAATTGGGACACAATTTAATGAAAAAATACCAAAAGCCTCAGTAGTAGACTTCGAAAGACCATTGTTATCCTTAAGAAAAATACAATTTTTCATGTTGCCTGATCTTTTAGATCTTTTATACCAGGAGCTGAACACATAAGATATGGACTTGTGAAACAAGCAATGTATGGTCGCAGTATTGATATTTACAGTTAAGTACATTTGTATCTATTGATCCACTTTATATCGATTAAATATCAAGTTCTTAAGTTATAATGCTAAGACTAATTAATTCACTTACAGCCAATATATCATATCATGTAATGCTATGTTCAGTCCCATACAACAAAATATTAGAAATTATGAGAAATAGTTTACCTCTTCGTTGATAATGGTAGCATTGCTGAGAGATTTTAAAGCAGAAGTAATCTTCCGTCCAAGATCTGCTAACACCATATTGACAATTTCAGTATTAGCTTCCTAGAAAATTCTAATTCAGAAACCGAAAAAAGCTGACGAAACCTCGTCGAACAGCTGTTTCCTGTACAGATAGTAAATAACGAACTTTAAAACGAAAGCCTTATATAGGAGGTTTAAGTGGCTATATTTGTATGAGTCATTTTGCTTAAATGTATCAAAGACGTTGATATATCACAAAAATATCAATGTTTTCCTCTGCTGCTACTTGAAGGAAGTGTAACACGTTTGTGTTTTGGTGTCACCGGAACCCGAATCCCTACGTAAATTGTTCCGGCTTAGTTAATACCTCCATTGATTTTTCAAATCATTCTTTTTCATTCTATTGATACAGAAAGCAATATAGTTTAAGATGTATGGACTTTTTTACTCAACATCTACAGATAAATACATGCTATATATCAATATAATGTAGGGCATTTTCAGTAGGTAAAAATCTTAACAAACACTTATTGGATGTAATTCACACGAGTAAAATACTATGTGAACCAACAGGTGCACGTTAATCGTTTACAAAATTGATCAAGTCTCGCTTTTAATGATGATTTTTATAAGATCATTAATACAAGATATTTTCTTTAAAGTTGCATCACAGATCAATTACAAAATGCAATGATTGTGAGTTAAATACTGTTTATTCACTTATCATGTTATCGACGTTAGACAGTAAAACCGAAGGAGACCGTTCAAGGGCGACCACTCTCTGGATAGAGTGTCTCATGTAAGGATTGCTCATCGAAGCGGACAGCGATAATACACCCACCTAGCCACATCGAGTAGAGGTGATTATCATATAATATATTTGTATCGGTCAAATGTCGGTAAATTACAAAGCTGTATAACCGGTATTTCTTTTTCCATTTATATTTGAGATATTACGGAGAGATTTTGCTCGCACATTTTCCTCACTTAGTTTTTGACAGTTGGTTACCAAAGCTGATTCAGATAAACCACCCCTTATGACCTCGGTATATCACACATTGGACTTCTGACAACTCATATACAAGTCAAATTCCGATTGAGGGACACAGGACTAGTATCCGATTGCTGATAAGTATGCAGTAAAAGTAAAATACTGACACTTTACCATGATTTTGGGTATAATCCTTCAATGGTTGAGAAGACATATTTTTTTCAGAAGCAAATTAACAACTGAAATGTTTTTTCTCTCCTTTTATTTTTTTATCGTATTGCAATAAATCTGTGTTTTTCCCTCGAAACCATATGAGCTGAATTGAAAATGAAAAAGAGTGCAAAATATTCAATTCATAATAAATGGCATTCTGACAAAGTGTGTCAGAATTTTAATATAAAAGTTATTGAAACAAGGGATTATAAACTCCCGTAGTTCAGAGGTTGTTCTGAACTTATTGATATCATGGCAATTTGGTTTTGCACATTTCTCTGTTTGTATGTCATGAACTTAGTTACTAATGTCAAATCTTATAATCTGTCAGTATACGCATGAAAGATGAAAAAAGTGTTCTTTACAAAAAATAGTGTTTGACACGGTATATTTCAGTCCGTTGCTCAATTTATTCACTGACACAATGGACTTGTTATGTCATATAGCCTATTTGTTGACTGTAGACACATTCCAACCATATTGATAGAACTGAGATAAGTGTTGCTTGACCATTCATTTTGTTCAGCCAGTGTTCTATTTGTCAACCGACAGGATATAATGAGAATCTTTTTGGTCAAAGACTGGTAAAGGATAGAAGAGTAAGTCAGGTCTGGACAGTTTCATTCTGCATAAAACCTATAAATGTACAAACAGAAATCAGTATTTTTTGTCTTGCCCCCACGAAGTGGAAGCGAGTTATACATGTTGCTTTTCCAGCAATGGCGGCGACTGCGGCATCAACATTTAGAGTTTGTGTTTAAGTTAGTTTCTCTGAAAGTTATAGTGCTACAGCAACTAAACTTGGACCATAGATGCATCTTAGGTAGTACATCTCAACCCATGCATCACATGCTGGATGCAGCCTACCTTTCAGGGTCCATTGACTTTGTGAGCATCTCCATCAACATTCAGATTTTGCATTTAAGTTAGTTTCTCTGATATGTGCATTGATGGTCAAAGCAGGGCATAGGCGAGACATATCAATCCGAATGGCTTGTTATTTACGAGAAAGACTCATTGATGATTATTTGGCCTATGACACTAATACTGTATATTTTAAATAGAAAATTATATTTGTGTGGCCTATGGTACTATGCATATAATTTTGTTTACTTGTCCTATAAAACTGTTAATGTTTGCTTGTTACTGGTGATGTAGAGGTGTATGTTACTGTTTGTCCTATAACTATACATATTATATATATACAT